GCAATATTTAAAACTATGTATTTTGAATTAATTATAGATTGGCAGGAAATGGCAATGATAATATAGAAGGGTCCTACATAAACTTTACGCAGGTTCCCCTAATGGTAACACCTTGTGTAACTGTAGTAGGACCAGGGCATTGTTCCCTTGTCAATGTCAGATCTCACCAGCTTTACACATACTAATCTGTGTCACCACACATTTGCTGATTGTCTGGCATTCAGTACACAGCATACGACTTCTATCTGGCATCTTAGAAGAGCTTACATAAAACTTTAAGAGGCACACCTTTGTCCCAAGAGTCCATTTATAGTAACTTCTAAATTGGGCCAGTTTCTCAAGGTCTCAGAATCGGCATACTCCCTCCTCCCTCTCTCTCTCTCTCTCTCTCTCTCTCTCTCCATCTCTCTCCCTCTCTCTCTCTCTCTCTCTCTCCCTTTCTCCCTCTCTCGTTCGTCTCTCAAGAACACAAGCAAATAGGGTTATGATGTGTGGTGGTAATGAAGAGATAAGGTCTGGTACTTGTGGCTATTGATTAAAATCTGTGATTGGATCCAGCATAAAGTCAGGAGTGGGTAGAATTCTGCAAAGCAAATAGGCTTCTTCCAGAGGCTGAGGAGCACCTCTGTCCCTAAACCGTATAGTAAAAAAAGAGGGCATGGGGAAGAGAGGAGCTAATCGGTGATGGGCACATGCTGAATATTTTCCAGCAAGGTTTGATGTGCTGGGTCAGGAGGCTGGGAGCCCAGACAAACCCTGCACTGTGGTTCCAGCACTCTGAGTTTGAACTCCCTGCTTGCCATGCTCCTGGTGATCCAGAGGATCTCAGGAAGATTCAGGCAGTGGGGGAGGGGTGGTGGGAGAAGAGGTGAGGGGGAGTTTTCCCAGCCAAAACCTACTTCAATGGATCAGCCAGCCTCTGAATAGCAGCTTTTGACATCTCAGTGGGTTGTGAGGGAGGTGTGGTCATCACAAATGAAACAGACCACAGGGGGTGCAGGAGACCTCTGCAGGGCCCCTAATCAATTACTAAAAACACAGAGAGGGTCCTTGGAAAATGAGTGAAGGAGACAGATGCATGCTGACACTCAGTGGTATCACTGGGCACCAAAGGAGAAATTGGGGGATTTTCAACTTCACAGAGGATGGGGTGATTGTTTTCTTTCATCAGTCGTTGCCCTCAGAAAACAAAACAGAAACCAGAAAAGAAACATTGCCTATGGAAAAAAAATACATATAGAGGCCGAAAAGGAGGAAATAAAAGGAATGAAATTCTGCTTTTACGAAATAATTTAAATAGTCTTGAATGCCCAGAGGGCCCAGACACCATATTATGTGTTACCGAGAGGCTGCTATCTCCCAAAGGGGATATGAAATGGGAGATGAATATTATTAATCATCCCTATTTGCTATATGTTAGGAAACCGAGGAAAAGTGAAAATGAGTGATTTTACCTTCAGATTCACATGCTGTGGCAGCCACAGAGCTGGGATTGACAGACAAAAGCATGATGCCCGGCAAAGCAGAGGAGACACCAGCGGGCCGGGGGGCTCACACTGTCGAATGCAACGATGCCCAGGATCCCCATTTGCCACCTGGCAGAGGCTGGATCATCTGCTGCCTGAAGAACCCTGTAGGAGTGGCTGGGGACCCCTTTCCTGGGTCATGTCTACCGGCAATTCACCTGCTTGGCTCGGGCTGGCTCCAGTTCACTTAGAGGGACTCAAAGGGATCGAGTTGACGTTGAACCTCATTGATCAAACTGAGATTACAGAGAGCACACTAGAACATCAGATACACTAGACAGGAATTGTCTATGTAGTTTACTTCTACATCCCCAGGACCTAGAACATGGCCTGGGGCCCCACCCATATGTGTGGGATAAAGGAACAGATCATATTGCCATTTTCTCGGTGCTGGTTATGGTGACAGACACTAGAAAGAGAGAGATGAATCAGTCGGCCCTTCCTGAAGAAGTTCTGCAAGCATCTATGAGGTATTACGAAGTGGTAGGGAGGAGGAAGTTCTTTGACCAAATAAATATGAGAAGTTTGGTTTTATTTCGGAAGGATTTCTCATAAACTTCAACAAGTGAATATGGCTTGTGAATTTCCAAGATGGGCATATATTTACATCCTTTCTGAAATATAATTGATGTTGAAATCCCCCTCCCTGTTCTGCACGCACCTTCACAATGTGTACTAGGACTGGTGTTTCTTCCTTGGAGAAGGCATGGCACCTGTCCTTGAGTAACTCCTGATCTCTTGGTAGCCACTTCCATCCAAGATCTGCCGAGCAGTAACTCAGTCTTCCATGCTCACTGGTCTGAGAGATGACCAGATGATTGTAAGACCATGGCTGCCAACTATTCTACCCAGACATTTTTTCCCACTGTGGTCCCTAGATAGTCCTTACCTGGATTTCCAACCCTTAGCCCTGGAACATATGGGTAGAAGTCCTGATCTTCCTAAAGACAGCCAGTTCTAAATCTAAGCATGTGCTCACAATCTGATATTTAAAGCTGAGATAGACTCAGAAACCTTGAAGCCAGTTCTGCTCTCAGTAATTCTGACCTGGTAACACAAAGTCTAAATCCTGCCACCATGCCCGTCATCGACACAGGGATGAATAACAAAAGAAAACCGCTCTTTCAACCCCACAGCCAGAATATGCCTTCATAAGACAGAGCCCAGAGTTTGCAACACGTGGCGTTCAAAGTCCCCACATTTCAGCCTCAGTCTCCCATGTGGAGGGCCATGCATTCTGTCAGGCAGTGGACTCTACCCTTGCTGTAGTCCAAATAAATCACCAGTGCCCTGGTACTGAAGGGAGTTAATTGCATTTGGAAATACTCCGGGTACTGAGGTTGGTTTGGTCAAAGACGTGGGCAAGGGTAGGGTAACATATGCATTCACTTTCACGAAATACACTTTAAGAATAGCGGGTTCCGTGTTGCCTAATTTATAATGGATCCCACACACACTCTTTCCTGCCTTCTTTTCCTGGCGAAGAATGTGAGGAACCATGGCAGTATTTTTCTTTTAGGTATAACAGTCTGTCAGTATCAAATTCTCTGAGTCAGTGGGGAGCATATAGTGTTGATTTACTGAAAATCTGGGATTATGTCTGCTCTGTGGTGAGTAGATTTAAGAGAGGAGAGGTAAGGGTCTCAGAAAGGTGAGGAAAAACACAAATGAAAGCTAGCAGGGAAAAAATAGCTTGACAGTTAAGATACAGTGCAGCCACCATCAAAATCTTCTAGAAAGAGAAGCCCAGGAAGGAACACACTCACATACACACGAACACGCACGTACATCCGCCTCACATCCCATGTACTGGAAGATTTGCAACCTTTTCAATTAACCTCTTTCTCTTTGGGGCATTCCGGATGTGTCAATGAAGGTTTAAATACTGCCATGTTTCACGCTGGAGAGAAATTTTGACAACAGATACAAACTTTTGTTTCAGTTTTTAAGAACTGGCTTTAAAAAAAAAAAAGACTCAAGGAAAGTAAAGGGAATTCTTTTCTTCAAGGGCCCTTTGACACTTGACTACATTCCTGGACCTTTTTGTCACCAACATTTCACCATCCCGATCATATCCCTAGCCTCCTGCTCTTTCTCCCCTTTGCCTCAAAATAGCTGTCACCTTGTGTTACTTTAACCCCAAGAATATTCCCCAGGAGCCCCTCAACCTTCCCTTTCTTCTTTTACTCTTCCTCCTCTTTATCCTGTTTTGAAGTGGAATACAATAACTAAACAGAATTAAAATGTGAGGAAAATGAGTGGAATACAATAACTAAACAGAATTAAAATGTGAGGAAAATAACAGAAACCCCGTGGCAGTATCTGGGTGCTTTTGAGAAGGGATTTTGCTACCTTTCTTTTCTCTGGGGCAAGGCTCCCAGCAAGTGCTGGGAAGGCTGGAGTCATGGAAGTGGTGGCAAGTGGGTGAGGGGAGCTCTGGGGGTGATTTTGCCTCCTACCTGCTCCCTGACCCTCACCATCTCCAAGAAGTTCCTCCAAGTCTTCAGGATGGTTGGCAGGAGCACAGTGACTTTTGTCATTAAGCATCCCAGCACTGATGTTGTGACTCAGTAGCTCCAGAAGAATCGGACGAGAAAGGCAAGGGCTGAGGCTTCCATCGGCAGCTAGAAGGGATTCAATGTGTCTTTCTGAAGGCCACTGGCAGCTGCCGAGGTGAAGGATTTCGGGAATGGGGGAGGGCTGCACTGGTAAACCCCAATTGCTGTGGCCACTAAGAGACACAGCCACTGCTGAGTGTCTCTGAGCTCAAAAAGAGAGATGAGGAAAAGGAGGAAAAAGAAAAAGAGGAAAGAGGGGATAAATAGCAGTAAGGAAAATGCCACTAGCATTCTGTAACTCTAGAAAAGAATATAGAAGGCAAAGCATGGTGGCTCACTCCTGTAATCTCAGCACTTTGGGAGGCAGAGGCGGGTGGATCATCTCCTAACCTTGTGAAACCCCGTCTCTACTAAAAACACAAAGAATTAGCCAGGCGTGGTGGCACATGCCTGTAGTCCCAGCTACTCGGGAGGCTGAGGCAGGAGAATAGCTTGAACCCAGGAGGTCGAGGCTGCAGTGAGCTGAGGTCACACCATTGTACTCCAACCTGAGTGAAAGAATGAGACTGTCTCAAAAAAAAAAAAAAAATACAGAGCTATCTAGTTGTGAATGAAGCATCATTTTGTCTATTTTATTTAAATTATATATCCTTCATCTGCATACTTGAGATTCCTGTGCTTTTGCTAAGTGAACCGTCTTAGCTAGTGATGCTCCAAGACCTGCCTTCGAGTTTAGGACAGGGGTCCTCTGTGAGGAAGCCTGGGTTCTGCTGTTAGAAGCTGTAAGGCAGCCAAGGGTTGAGTCACCACGTGCCTGGAAAAACCCCAGTTTATGCCTATTGTCTTAGTGATTATGACTAATACCCCCTTTTACTAAAGTGTCCTGGTTTTAATGAGAAATTCCAGTCAGTCTGCATATAGGCAAATTAAGGCTTCTTTTAATAGGACTATCAACCGCCCCTCCCACCTTCATTGAGGCTAAAAACTGCCTGAAAATAGTTACTGCAAAATGAAATTCCAGGGCAAAGAATAACTCCTTCGAGATCATTTCTCCTCCTCAGAGACAAGTGCAGTTAGACCTCAGAAGAGCCTCCGGTTCACACACACTTGGGCCCCATTTGGACAGTATTTCTCTCTCCCTTTCCCTCTCTCTCATTTTTTTTTTTTTTATTGGTCACTTTTTTTTTTTTTGTTGCACATGAATCCAGCTATTCAAAATGGCACAAGAACCTAGTTGTGACCAATGTCATTCACAAAGCGATGTGACAAAGACAAGTGTAATAGTGAAACCCTACATAATAGCGAACCAGCAATGGGGCCCGCAGGGCTGTCCAGCTTGGGGTTCATAGGGAACCCTTAAAAATTTAGCCTTAAGAGGTGCCTTTCACTTTATTATTGAGACCCAAAAAGAATGCTAGGACTATGAAAGAAACAACTGCAACTCCTCTCAGATTCTCTTCATACTGCACGTTGCAACAAAGCCTGCCTTTTTTACATTTCAAAAGAGGCTGCTTTCTCTTTAAAAAGTAGGAGCTACTTGGTCTGATGCAGCTGCCTTTATCAACCATGAAGTTCCCAGCAAGGTGCTGTTAGTGCCTGATTAAACCTCATACCAACCCATGTCCCCCATGGTAACCCAGAAGACATCCGCTGAGACCGGGAGCGCTGATTCAGTTTAATTGCCCAGGCTCTCTGTGATGACCGGATTTCTTGTCTCTCAAGGCCTGGAATGGAAATCCATGTGATCAGATGAATTATCCGAGTGTCTTGACAGATCTGAAATATGAATATGGAGATGGCGTTGTGCTCTGCAGTGACTTATGAAACCCCGAGGGTAAAATATCTGCCATTGAAACAATTTCAGGAGTGTGTGCGTGATTCACATACAACTCGTTTTCTAATGGAACACTAATTATTAATAATCAGACCAAAAACAAGTGTGTATAATATATATATACATGTAAGATATATACATATGCATAAGATATACACATGTATATATCTATACACATATGTTTAGTTCTCTCTATATATATATACATATGCATAAGATATACACATGTATATATCTATACACATATGTTTAGTTCTCTCTCTCTCTCTCTCTTTCTCTCTCTCCCTCTGAATGGGAACCTGCAATCTCCTGGAATCTGCAACACATTTCTGCTCTACCAGAAGAAGAAATGCAAGGAAGAAGTCAGACAAGATACTCTCACAAACTTCAGGTCACCAGATTCCTCCTGGAACCTCCCTTCCTTCTGGAAAGCCATCAAAAGTAAAGGCACTGGCCCTACAGGACCACGGGGTCACTTAAGGAACATTATAGAGCGATGATTCTCAGCCTTCTCAGCTTCAAACTCCCTTCTAGAAATTGCACCCCCCATCCCACATCAGACTATTTGTTCCAAAGGCTTTTATCTACCAAAATTGAGGTGGGGGGGCTCTAAGAACAGCTTGAGATCTACTGGTCATACCCCAGAGTCCCTGTGCTGACAATGACATCTTTCCCATCCACACAAATTATCCGTCGTTAACACACAGACTTGCTATATTTCTAACCAAATCAAAGAAATTGTACTGATCTTTTCTGCAGCCTTACTCCAAGTAAATATGTGATTTCCATTAGGCTTTTTGCAATATGTAAAATATATAGACTGCCGTTACCACCTTCAGGACTTCTGGGTGTTTGGGGACCCTTAAAGGAATCACTCCTATGCCCAAAATTAGTTTGAAGATGAAAATTATAGCTAAGGGGGGAAAGAAGTGTTGGTGTAATAAGATATTTAAAAGCAAAAAATTTTTCCCATCTGGGTAGGTCCGGGCCTAGCATTGGAGAAAGGGATGTTTTCAAAATGAGAGTAACTGCTAAAGCAAAATGTGTAAAACTGAGACACTGGGCAAAGAAGGGAAGCATGTTGGTTTATAAGAGAAAACAATTCTACTGTGTTAAACTGTTTCCCCTGAAATAACATTTCCACTCAGCTGGGAAATTTTCTGGGGTCCCCAAACTTCATTAGGTTTTTAGCAACTACCCCAAGGAGAACCCAAACGGCAGGGAATAGTTACATGATTGACATGCATTGGGTGACAGAAATAAAGGAAGCTGCACATGCTTTTGTTAATTAACATGTTTTTTCCTCAGTGCTGTAAGGAGGGAAATTGGAAATCTGTAATCAAGCAGATCTCTGAGTTTTCCAAGAACGGCTGTTCTCTTCCCAACCAGGGTTAAAAGACAATTTGTTGCACTCTGTGCAAATCCTGACTTGGTTCCTGTCTTACTTAAGTAAGATTTCAGAAGTAGTCATAAATCTTTTAAAAATATTTATTATTCATTCATTTTGGGGCAGATTTTATGATTCTAAAACTCCAGGATCTGTTTGAAAGTTTCCTGAGTTTCAAGTTTCATAGAGAAAGGTTGACAGGGAACCAAATTCCACCAGTGGTTTGGTGGTGTGTGAGCACAGGCCATCAGCCAGAACATTCTAACATGTCTACAAAGGGCATGATTTGGGGTCGTCTCTGCCGAGAAATTCTATGGACTAGGGGGAAACACTTTCTTCCTTTCCCCAATACTGACTTGGACTAGTTTCTAAAAATGGACAGAAATGCCTCATCAGCTTTGTGATAAATCCAATCACCTTGTTAATAAACAGAAAAGGGAACTATCAACACAACTTATTTTCCACTAGCTAGTTAATGCAAATAGGCAAGCTAATGGGCAAAATTCTGACTTTATTTTATTTATTGCTTTACTCCACACCAAATGTAAATGTAAAAGGCTCCTGAATTGGGTGCCTTATAATCTCGGTCCACTGATGGATTTTCTAGAAGCAGACTTACATTTCCCCCAAAAGAGAACCCTGTAAACATAGACATTGCTCTGTGTGGATATCAAATCTGTGTCTCATGCACGGGGTGCAGCGGATGCAGAAACCCACATCCACCTTCAGGAGAGGCAGCCTGGAGGAGTAGCATGAAACAAGACAAGAAGATTTGGTGGATGGATTTTCGAAAAATATTCCTTACAGCCAAGTCTATGAGGCTAGGGGACAGTCTTCCAAGGGAAGTGGTGGGAACCCCACAGTTAGCAGCATTTAGGAGGGGCCTTGCTGGAGCTATGGAAATGTAACCCTAGGTTAAAAACTGTCCTGAAAAGGGAAGAGGGGAGACAGGTTTAAGGGATTCTTTCAGCTCTAATTTCTAACAATCTTTTTAGACTACAGAGAAAAATAAATAAATAAATAAATAAATAAATGAAACAGGAATAAAAGGAACAAAAATCAGAAGAGAAAATAATGTTAAGGCACAACTTTAAGAAACACACCAGAAGGCCCTCATGATCTCCCAGCCACTGTTCCATCCAAATGCCACGTAGGGTGCGCGAGCTGAAAATCGAGTGGGTGGAAGGGAGAGCCCTCTCAACTGACTGTGAACAAATCCTGCGAACTCCAGAGCCATTTATCTAAAACAAGTGCTGAAAGAAAGGAAGCCCAAGATGGGGTAGCCACTAAGATAGATTTCCTTGTGGAGTTTGGCTATTTCTCCTCACTTTTAATCAATGCAATCCTGTCTACACAGCCTACTTTCCTTAGCAAAGAAGTCTGGACTTCTCTGAGCTTGCTTTTTTTCCTTTCTTTCTTTTTTTGTTTTTAACTAAAGACATATTGGCAATATCATGGTACATGACTTCCCAGATTTCTAGCAAGCAGAGTCATAGATAGCCTGAATACCAGAGTGCTAGCTGCTTCACGCCAGTTGAAATCGGCCTAGATTAAACATGTAATCGATATAGTATTCCAGCATGAATAGGCAGGATCTGTGTATTTATACTGGTATGTGTGTGTGTGTGCATGTGTGGGCGTGTGTATGGTGAACAGTAGACATTTCCATACTTCGGATTTTTTCTTTAACTGGTGAAAATAACTGTGACCTGAATAGAGAATGAACCAGGCTCCAAAAAGGCAGTTTTCCTGAACATGTACAGACAAAGGAAATAGTTTCCTTACCAGAAAGGAGTCACTTGAAAGCTTTTAGGCCAGACCCTGCTCGGGCTCAGATTTCTTTTCTTTTAGCCCTTTGATGAACAACTCATATGGAGATTCAAGCGTCTTGTGCCTGGTTTGAATTTAAGCTGTTGCTGACTTTAGTGGAAAACTTTCATAAACTCCACTCAGGCTTTCTTCCTTTCCCCACCACTGCTGACCAGGTTTTGATATATCTTTGGATATTCATCGTGAATCATTCATTCTCAGTGTGATCATTATTATCAACTTGACAGAAAACAATTTTTCCCCAAGAAAGACTGAATTCAGTCTTCTCCTTTCTTCTGGGGCTCTGAGCTCTGTCGTTCTTCTGGAGCAGGGGGAGGGGGAGGCGGGGCTGGGGGACTACTGGATGCAGGAAGAAGGATGGAATGGGAGTGAAGCCTGCCGACAGCTGCTAGAGATCGCCTATCTCCGTGGCAGTATTATTGCTGGGACAATACCACATGGATCTCGTCCAGTACCCTAGCAAAATGGCATTTTCTCCACGTGCCAAAGCCTTTCTTCAGGAAGGAGGTGGGTAGAGAGTATAGTTTTCAAGTAAAGCCTTTGCTCTCAAAACAGGACCCTTCCTGTGGCTCACTTGAGAATAATGCCCTGAAGGATTTCCTCCCTCTTTTCTGGGCTCTTTGGTGACAGTTAAAAGTCTGCAATGCCCCGAACACTTTGTTCGGGAACCTGTGCTGCCTTTGGAATTGTGCAGTGAAAAACAAGAGCCTTGGAATCAATCCAGCCTGGATTTGGAGCCCAGCTCTGCCACTTACGTGGGTAACTTTAATAACAAGTCTTCCTGCTCCTCGGTGTATAAGTGAATTTGAGATATCCTCAATTTCGGATATTGGAAAGATTAAATGAGATCACGCTTCTAAAGTTCACTGTCTCTGCTTCATTCTTCCTCTCTGACCCTTTGCTCTTGTTGATAACTCTGCAAATTCTCCTGGTCCTACGTAACTAAAACAATTGTGTCCCGTCCAAGAATGGAGGATCCAAGAATGATCCCTAGGGTGTGTGGGGCCTGAGGCAAATCACATGGCGTGTCCTCACTCCCAACGTGTTTACAAAGACACCATCAGATTTAAGCGATTTTGAGAGCAGGTTTGAGTTGAAGATGAAAAACATCGCCGAAAAGGAGAAGTCTAAGGAATATGTGTGGAAGCAGGAAAAGGGTGCATCCTGTCCGGCCTCGGGGTGGCTGTGTGGGGCGCTGTAAGATGCTCCACTCCCAGCAGCACTGATCCCCAGGGGCCCCTGAATTCAGCTCAGGACTTGCTCATCGCTGCAGCGCAGGCCCCCACCCCTGCCCCGACCCGAAGCGGACATCTTGATTGGCCAAGACCCCAGGAGTGGCTCTCACAGGAACGCTCCTCACTTGCAGTTCTTGAACTTCCGGAGGCTCACTTGCCACAGTTCTTGTATAAACTTTACTGCAAACGAGCCAAGTAGTTTGTATTTGTCTTTATAATGGTGCAAATCCAACAGGTAGCTACCCACACACCCACTTCAATTAAAAATATATAAGACCCACCGCACGCAGTGGCTCATGCCTGTAGTCCCAGCACTTTGGGAGGTCAAAGTGGGCGGATCATCCGAGGTCAGGAGTTCGAGAACATCCTGGCCAACATGGCAAATCACATCTCTACTAAAAATACAAAAACTAGCCAGGCATGGTGGTACATGTCTGTAATCCCAGCTACTCAAGAGGCTGAGGCACAAGAATTGCTTGAACCCAGGTGGCAGAGGTTGCAGTGAGCCAAGACTGCACCACTGCACTCCAACCTGGGTAACAGAGCAAGACTCCATATCTGTCTGTCTATCTATCTATCTATCTATCTATCTATCTATCTGTCTGTCTGTCTGTCTGTCTGTCTGTCTATCTATCTACCTACCTACCTATATTATTTATATATATAAATTACATCCCATTTTAAAAACCAGGCTGGGTGTGGTAGCTGTTGCCTGTAATCCCAGCACTTTGGAAGGTTGAGGCAGGAGGATCGCTTGAGCCCAGGAGTTCAAGACTAGTCTGGATAACATAGTAAGACTTTGCCTCTATCAAAAAAATTTAGCTGGGTGTGGTGACATGCATCTGTCGTCCTAGCTGCTTGGGAGGCTGAGGCAGGTGGATCATTTGATCCCCAGAGGCTGAGGGTGTAGTGAGCCATGATTATGCCACTGTACTCCAGCCTAGGCAACACAGCAAGACCCTGTCTCAAAAAAATAGAGAAAGAAGAAAGGAGAGGAGAGGAGTAGGAGAAAGAGAAACAGAAGAGAAGAGAAAGAGAAGAGGAGAGAGGAAAGGAAGGAAGGAAGGAAGGAAGGAAGGAAGGAAGGAAGGAAGGAAGGAAGGAAGGAAGCCCTACAGAATATAACCACATAGCTGAGGCTTCCCTTTGAACACAGCCCATTGGTGTAGGTGTTTCCTAAGGCTGCTCCAACAACTTACCATGACCTAAGTGGCTTAAAACAAGACAAATGTGTTCTTTTGCCATTCTGGAGGCCAGACAGAGGAAATTAGTCTTACCAGTTCAAGTCAAGGTGTCAGCAGGACTGTTCTTTCCAGAGGACCTAGGGGGAGAACATGTTCCTTGATTCTTCCAGCTTCTTGTGGCAGCTCCATCCCTTGGCTTGTGGCTACATCTACTCCAGGCTTTGTCTCTGGGGTCACATGCTTTCTCTTCTGGAATCAAATCTCCCTCTGCTCTCTCTTATAAGAACACTTGGAATGGCATTTAGGGCCCACTATAATAATGAGGATAATCTCTCCATCTTGAACTCCTTGATTTAATCACATCTGCCAAGTCCCTCCTGCCATATGAGGTGACACTCACAGGCTTCAGGGCATAATGACGTGAACATCTTTGGGGACCTTTATTTAGCCTACCGCAAGTGGAAATCCTCCTTCGTTAACAATAGACAACAGTTGCCTTGTTACAAAGTGTTTCTTGCCCAATAGAATGGAAAAACAACCACTCTCTGGCATTCTATTTTTTTTCCATTCTAAATCTATAATACACATGCAACACCAGTATATTACATGGGCACATCATATTCTGCTACTGCCATTATCTCTGCCATCTCAGGAAAGGAGCTGAGAAGTGGATTCTAAAGATAGTGACAATCTAAGACCTCATTCTCCTTTATGCAGAATGACTGAACACAAACATCTCAGACTTTCTCCATCATGTTAAAATTGATGATGTGCTCCAAGTCTGGCCAGAAAGCTGTGCTTTCCCAGTCACATAAAAACCTAAATTTGTACCTCCTTAAGGGACAAAGAGTGGCATTAAAGCTAGGAATGGTTGTCCAGTTAAAAAAAACAGGAGGTTGTAAGAAAACAGCTATTTAAAAGCCACTCTGATATGACCTGCTCCCCAAACAATTCATTGCAGGGTCACAGTCATTGTTGCCAGGTGGCATAACATTTATTATTATGGTGTCCTGGGCTCCTTGGATTGGTAACAGACATATCTATTCCTCAGAGGATGAGCAAAGGTTGATAATGTCCTCTTACCCTAGGCGAGCTGAACTTCAACTGTCAAGATACTGGTTGACATTAAGACTTTGCAACACCTATTATTGTCTGTCACCTCCAGAGATAAACTCTCTCGTGACTGGTTTCTCACGTCGCCAGCCACTGATGCCATTTACTCTATCTCTTTTGTAGACTGGCTCTTGGTTTCCTGATACTGTCTGTCTGGCTGGGTTTGGTCATATGCTCAAAGCTAAATTCACAGACCTCCAGACCTCACAGTGTGATGGGATAGGAAATGATCAGAGGGGCCTGGACGGAGTTAGACTGTCAGAGAAACTGCAAATCAGCAAAAGAACGAAAGCCCCTTGACCCTGAGCACATCTGCCACGTATTTAATTCTACGTTCTTGCCAAGCCCTGAAAACCCTGGCTGGGGAGACTTGGGAGTGAATGGGGTTATGAAGTCTAGGAGAACGTAGAGGTGAGAAGGCTGGCGGGCTGCCGGCTGCTGCGCTCCCCTCCCTGGCAGGGACTGGGTGTAGGGTCGGTGGTGGCGAAGTGGACCCTGCCAGACGTGGACATAGTTAGGGACACAAACGTAACCAGCTATGTGCGGGTGTCTGGATGACCCGCCGCAAGTTGTACTGCATCAATTTTATTTGATCGCTTCTTTGCCAGCTGGCTCCAGACCAGAGCAAGCAAATGAGTTTTTCCCTGTTCCTTGGGGTTTCTGATCTCAGGGCCACGTTAAGGAGATCCCAACATTTGGGAGGAAGTGAGCCTGTGTGTTCCTGAGTTCCTGAGTGGCTTCTCATTTCCACATCTTAGGGTCAAATTAGAAATGGGTGCAGAAAGGTTTTGTTTAGGAAATGCCACAGGGACCTTCTTGATAGGGCTGCACCTACTCCTCCAGCCTCCTTCTCACCTCCTGCTATCTCCTGCATTTTAGTTCCAGGAAGACTGAGGATCTGTTCTTGGTTTCTTTTCACTGCTCTTGACGCTCCCAGCTTTCTTATCTGGTTCAAATGTCACTGTCTCTGGGAAGCTTTCCTGGATTTCCTAAGTGGACTTAGTTTACCCTTCTAAGTTGTCTCTTAGCATACCTCATATTCTTTATCATTTGAGGAGCTAGAATAATTCATTGATCTATGCTTCCTACTAACCAAAAGGTGTTTGAAGATAGAAATCCCATTATATTCCCAGTCTGGCACACGGCAATGATTCAATAATTGTTTGGCTAGGAGAGGACATTCCCAAATTAGACACTAGTTTTTGGTATAGACCTGGGCTGTGGACCTTTGGTCATGGTAACAGACTGTGTGATGGCGGCACCACAGGGGGAAACCTTGAGCTTCAGGGAGTTTAAAAAAGAAAGAAAGAAAGAAAGAAAAATGGCCCCAACTAATCTTTTAAAACTTTTAGTTGCCTAGGAACATTATTTTGGGGAGGTAAAGATAGAGATGCTGGATGAACACAAGGCAATCAGTTATGTACCCAGCACAGGAAACTTGACCACCCTGGAGATGCCAACAGGAATTCTGCCCAATTCAGGTGCTCCACACTGAATGCACCTATGCAAATTCAATTAAATCTCTCCTTCAGAAAAAATAAAGAAAAGTCAAATAAAGATGAGAGATAATAAAGTTCTAAAATACTTTGTGGGCATACCTACTTTTCTTATACCCTCATTAGACTGAGGCCTATGATGTGTTCTGGTCAATGGACTGCAACTGGAAGTGACATGCACCACTTGTGGGCCAAAGCATAGAAACGGAGGCAGAATTCTCCAGGCCCTTGCTTCCCTGCTGTGGTGATCATGGAGGACTCATGCTGAGATGGTGAAGCAAAAGGATCAAAGCAGCCTGGATCACTGAGTCACCGCATGGAGAATAGCAGTGTCTTGGAGAATTGCCCAAACCCACAGCTGAGTTTGTGTGGGTGAAAAATAAATGTTTACTGTCATGAGCCACTGAGTTCTGGGGTGGGAAACAGCCTATCCTGACTACAGCCGGCAAGTTGTTCTAAAACACTTTCTTGCATGCTTATGAAATAGACCACTACTCAGTGTCAGAAGGATTCAGCTGATTGTTTCTTCAACTTCATGGTGAGTAATTAGCACTCACCTTTACTTGAGAGCCCAAGGAACCTGGAAGGCTGATAGGCTCAGGGTGAATTCAGTGAGCATGTTGTGGAAAATTGAGAGGAGAAGCACTGACATATGGGGCTATAAACATCTGTGCACCTTCCTTACACAAATTCTTGAATTATAGTCTCACAAATCAGTCATCAGATGGCGGGGACAGAGATGATGGAGGATAGCGGTGGGATCATATATTTAACGCTTTGGGATATCTTGCCATAGGCCTTCGAAAGCCCCCACCCCTTACACCATTATTTGACCTCTGTGTGTGTTTATTACTTAATACTTATTAAATGCTTAATAACTACACATTCTTATTTGGTGCAGGGATGTTTTCTTGGCCAGGCTCCTGAATGTATTCATCCCATATGGATATTGCTTAGCCTCCATGACCCACTATTTATTAATGTAAATATCAGACTTCTGAATAGAGCAAGTGTTCAATATGTATCCTCTGAATGAACAAATACATTGCACTCTTATCTTACCCCGCCTTAGAGCTTGCAAACACAGAATTCACTCACCTGAGCTAAAGAAAGTAATTACCTTTTAAGTAAACAACTACCTGGTTGTCTATTTCAAACTCTATGAGAAATATTCTAGAATTTCTTTTCCTCAAAAACATGTAATTATTATATAGAACTAGAAGGGAAATAGGCTTCATTTGCAAACAACCTTAAAATACACAATCTTCTCTCTCTCTTTTCCTCTGTAGGCTCCACGAGGCATTTCCTATTAAAAATTGCAGCTCTGCTTCTTACCACCTTTGCCCTCTTCTCCGCTCTGACTTTAAATTCAGGAGATGGTTTCCCTGGGGAATATAGATCCTAGTGCCATGTGATCTGGCCTAAAGGGTAGTGTGACAGAGCGAAACAAAAGAGGATGCTAACCTTGCCTTTCTCCCATTCACACGCACGCCTCCCCACTGAATGCCAGAGACTTGCAGCGAGCAATGCTCCACCATCTCAGAAATACCTATTAGTTTATGTGATTCAATCATTGGCAAGACGGACTCTGAAACTGAAGGGTGACATGAGTTAGCAAAATGTCTGGTGTTTGAAAGGGACTAGTGAGAAATGTATTTTTTTATGACAGTAACTGCTTTCATCTTTTCTTACTATAGAATTATTGCTTATCATGGAAGAAGCAAAAAACATACAGTAAATCAAGAAGACAGAAAAATCATTTCAATCTAATCCTACAGATACTGTTATTAACATGTTAGTTTGAAATGTTCTCTCTCAACCTCTCTCTGTCTCTCTCTCCCCATTCTCCTTTCCTCTTTCTCTCTTCGAATGCATGCCTACTCAAATGTAACTATTTATCTATAATTTAATATTATCTCAATAACATTAATTACCTTAAGAAATCAGAATTTGTTTTCTGTTGTATAGTTGTTATACAACTATACAAATGAACACACTAAATACAATAAAATTAGGAAACTATCTTGATATATTGCTCGAAGTTAGACAGTATGACACTGAAATCATGATTGACAAGAGACAAGTAGACCAAAGAGATGGTTAAAATGCTGATGCTCAGAGGTGGAGCTGTAAAAATGGAAGAGGGACATGTGCAGCCACTTTAGGGAAATCTAACATTCATGTGGACTTTTCTTCTATGTGAAGCTGAAATGTAGTTCTTTTCACTATTTTTTCAAATCTCTACTGCCTTCAGTGATCTTTCTGGAAGACATCAAGGAAAGGTGCTTTGTTCCACTCCACACTTCCGGAGTGATGTCCTGTGGTATCAACCCAGGATGGCAAAAAGGAAGACAAGATGATCTGCTCTCTGACCTACTTCAGTGACTGTGTAAGCTCAGGGTCAGAAGCATGGAAGAAAGCAGTAAGTGGCCACCCCTCCATCCTGAGGACTGGACCTCAGGAAGAGAGTCCCTGGAGAGAACTGGAGAAAGAGAGATAATGTGAAATAGGGTTGGAGTGAATTTAATTTGAACTTCAAAGGGTAAGATGCTGTTGACCTTCATCTAGGTTGCATGTTCATAGTTTTAAAAAGTGGTATCGTACTGTTTCTCTTATTTCACACTCTATGGATTCTCATGTAACAAATATTTGAAGGCCATTCATGCC